AGGTCATATTATGACTGTTGGCGGAATAAAACTAATATTAATAAGAGGTCGAATTAAGGGCGTTGGCCGGTTTAATATATCCGATAGCATTGATTTGAATATTTCACATTTCAAAATTACTATGGTAGTGGAAACATTACAGTATATAAGGCTAGCGTATCGACAGCAATATTACAGTCAACATCCAACAACTGGAACTTCGCAGTCAACATCCAGCAACTAGAACTTCTTCGTCCCCTTCATCAATTCAGCATTCAATAATATTCAACGATGTCTTACAGAACTTCGATTGCCCATTCTGGATCAGAGGTTAGTAAATGAATTACTTTAATAACTAAAGCAAATTGTAGGCCAGTCGTAAAACTACTCAACGCTATGGTTATAATTCCATGGTAAACCACTCATACATTTATGAAAAAAAAAAACAATCTGTTAATATGGCAAATTTAATACTATAAGTTTTTTTTATAGTACGAATTTAACGGATCTGTAGACATGAAAATGAAACCTTCCACTTCAAAGCAAACTAAAACAGCTCTCAAAAGAGGGGCTGAAAAAGTGATTGACAAGAGAAATAACAAAAAGATTAAACAGACAAAAACAGTAAGATAAATAATTATTTATAATCTTAATACTTTTATCTAATATTCTAAGGTGATGAATTATAGCACGAATTTATTTATTTATTTTTTTTTAGAGTTCATCTTACAGGGAAATCTTTGAGGAGAAATTGCGGACTGAAGATTTCGATGAAGAAATCATCAATTCGGTAACTTTCCGGCAGGGAGATGGTTTGGCTACCATCAAAAGTCAGTTTAATCCAGAAGAGAATGCGACCGACTACTGGACAATAACACACTATAAGTGTAAGAACATAAACAAAGTTCCATCAAAGGAGAGGTAAATACTAGACTTTGGTTTACTTTTTAATAAAAAAAACTATTGCTTATAATAAAAATAAATCAACTGTTTCTATTCACTGTTCACTGAATAATTAATTTATGTTACAGGTGGCGTCACTCTGAGGCATCTGTTAAGATAACGACTTCAGATAAATCGAAAGACCAGACTTTAAATACAAGTTTGAATGAGACCATGCAGGTCATCTTCGACGTGATTTTGAAGGATCCAGAACGTCGTACGATAAAAAGTAATTTAGCATTATGAGTGTAATATTCTAAAAAAATATTTTTTATTTAATAAATAAAACATTACATAAATATAAATGAATTTGTATTATATCACACTATTAAGTCCTGTAAAATCATGTCAGACATTGCGTTAAAATGAAATTGTAATATTTCGTACAAAAATGAAGTGTCGTCGTTTTGTAGATGAGAATAATAATTAAAATCATAGTTTTGTATATACTGGTTTGTGAATTCGTTCCTCTGGTAACTGATGGGCAAACCTCGGACATCGTTTTTAATCAGTTCATAAGCTGCATCAAATGTTGCTTGAAAACTCTGTAGACGTTTCTGTTTTTCTGCGATATAAAGGTCCACACAATGCTGAAGTTGTTTAAGTCTACAGAAATCTATATGTGAGAGTGTAATATAATCATCATTTATATGTAAGGTTATTGAACTCTGCTTCACATTAATTGAATATGTGAAATTCTCGGTGATTCTTACACGTCTACACCTGGTATGTAAGTTGTTAGTAATTGAAGTGTAATTAGATTCAGACATAAGCGTACACCATTGCTCTAAATTTAATGTAATAATTTTTTTCGTTAACTTGCACTCTAATAACACAATAATCGAAATTTGTTTGCTTATTAATAGGCCGACTGTAACACTCTTCTTACCAAATGGACGTATGTCAAATACCGATTTTGATACAATTACCGGTAGACCCATAACGAATTAATGTTCTTTTTTTTAAATAATTAAAAAACCTTTCAAACTATAAACGTAATTATTTTTTTAAAATTGATATAAGTTTTTTTTAAATATTTAAAAAAATCTTTCAAACTATAAACATAATTATTTTTTTAAATTTGATATAATATAACCGATGAGAGATATCCTTTGAACTGAAAGCATTTTTACTTTGTGAGCGTATTATATACTAAACCTGATAGATAAAAAAATAAATGCAAAAAATGTGAGCGTACAGTATAGTCGACTACTGCATGCAGTGGAGGGGAGAATTACATATTATACTTACCTGATACCTGAAAACATTTAAATTAATACTACACGCAGTAATCCACTAGACCACACGCTCACGAGATATTAGATCAAATAATAACGCATATAAGTTGTTTTAAAAAAATCAACATTTATTTTTATTTACTATAACATGATTAGTATACATTTAAATTATCTCTACATGCACTAACCTTATTAGTCTATACGACCGTGAGATATTAAATCAAATTTAACACATATAATTTGTTTTTAAAAAAAAATCAGCATTTATTTTTATTTAGTATAACATATAATAAAAACATGATTAGTCAACGGTAAAAAAAAATCAACATTTTATTTTTATTTACTATAACATAATAATAAAACTTGATTAGCAAACAGTATCGTATGATTCAGATTCGCAACTGTGAATATGTTCAGTTTTACAGTATTTACTTAATACATTTTGAACATACTGATTACCCTTCATTAATAATACATATAAACATCTTGGACTGAATCTGCAATGTTCAATCCATGGGTCGTCCAGCCTTTCCCAGTTATGAAGAATAAGACCACAACAAAAGCATTCCACGACATCATCCACTCCTGAATATTTTAAGCCACATTCGGACAATGTATATTTATTTTGAGAAGTATTTAACGGTAATAATTTGAATGTTTTAAATCTTGATGCAAACGATGAAAATTTTGGATGAACCATGGTCGGATTACTTCGTATACGATAAACTAATGATTCAAAATCATTCGGACATTTTTGAAAATTCATTTTTGAAGAAATTAAATAACTTATACAATGTAATAAAACTTTAAGAAAATAAAGAAAAATGAGACACGACTTAAGTGAACGGCGGATCATTAGTAACTGAATATGAGAAAATGATCAGCTTATAACTAAAAATTGTATACATTTTTTAGAAAAATACAGGCATTCATTAATTAGATCAATTGCAGTGCAACCAACATAAATGTAAATGCGAATATAGTAATTATTATTTTGTTTTAATAATAAGTGTTCGAGCGCCGTAGTCGACGTCCATCCAAGGCTTCTATGAACCGGTCGTGCCGTTCCCTCCGTCCGTCTAGTATGCTATCGCCGATAACGCACGTCTGCCGTAGACCCCGTAACTGCTTGAGCTAGTTAGTTGGACGCACGACCTTTGCCGGATTACGGCCCGTCGTTGCTCTTTTCGTCATTGTCGTCATCGTCTTGCGTTCCGTTTGCTTCGGTATCGGCTTTTATGCGACGGCCCTGTCACTTGTGTACGACTCTTGTAAACGTTGTTCTCTGGATTCGTGGTAGGCCGTATTTCCGCTGTTTCGATTGACGCGGTGCGCCTCGTCACGATACGTGTGTTGGTAGTCGTAGTGTGGACGAGTAAAACCCGCGTGTCGGTGTATTCGTGACCTGTGGATCACCGTTCGTCGGTCGTCGTATCGTTGGTAGACCTATTGTCGCCGTCAACTGCTCCAAAGTACACCATAAAGCCGAATTGTCAACGTCGTTTCTTCACCGAGCCCAGCTGGTCGTCGGAGTCGCGTAATCATTATCATTGTATTATCATTATTATTATTATTATTGTCGTCAGGCATCGGGTGTATTGATAACACCGTTATTACCACGGACTAAGATATACAGGACTGGACATGACAAGGTTGGAGGGTGTGGGGGGGTTGACTACGAAATGTTTTACAACAGGCAGTGTTCGGGGGGATATTTTCCTTTTAGCATTACTAGCGCCGTCTTAGTGGATACTTTTGGAACTAGATGACAATAATGTGATCTAGTTCCATAAGTATCCACTAAGACGGCGCTAGTAATGCTAAAAGGAAAATATCCCCCCGAACTCCGCCTGTTGTAAAACATTTCGTAACCACAATATTCATCTCGTGTCCAGTCCTGTATATCTTAGTCCGTGGTTATTACCTTTATTGAGTTTATTGTCATTAATTTCTGTTGTGTATTCTTATTTCTTATGGCTGGTTAAGGAGACGTCTTTACCAGTTAATACAATATGTTTTATAATATCTGTATTTAATAGAAAATAAATAATTCCGGTATGTGCTTTGCCATACTTCTCCAAAATGTGCGTATAATTAGTGTGGTCGCATAACAATAGTTTGTATTTACAAGTGTCCAATACGTTGGTGTAGTCAGTGGGGCCGACCACCAATATTGTAGGAGCCTCTTGATTGAACAATAAGGTTTGTTGGGAAAAAAACATTTAGTGTGTACACTGTAAATATTTGGGCAAAACTGACTTTGAGTGTGCAAACTCTTCATAATTTTTACACGGTAAAATTATTGTGTCCAAGGGGGACATCCTCCCTTGAACGTTGTGAAATTACAGTGGTGACACAAAAAAAAGACTGTGAACATACAAATCTATACTACTTTCTTACCTTTAAGTTTTTAATAGTTCAATTCACTTCAATATTAGCTAACTACCCACACGAAATTGGAAACTCTGTACGTTTATAGTACAAAGTAGAGCTCTTATAACCCGTGTACACGTGAAATTAAAAATTTCGTGATGAAAACCGTGTAATTCGTAGTTCACGTAATTCACGTGAATTTCGTGTATTTAAAAATCTTACACGTGAATTTCGTGTATTTATAAATCCTACACGTGAAAAGATACACGTGAAAATGTGAAATACACGACGTGCATTTAAAAATTTTTTATTTCAGAAATAATGAAGATTTACTAATATACCTAATTAATAACGATATTTATTAACGTTTAATCTAAATTAAAACGTCATTCACAGTTGAATAACCAATAATAACAATAATAATAATAATACTTAAATTAAACATATCAAGAACTATAGTCTATAATTCTAGAAATATAATTTTCTGTTTTGGTATAAGAATACCAACATGTCTACATTTTCAGGAAGAAGGCAACTTCTTTTTGGCGTCACAATGTTACCTGCCGTTGAGAAACACCTCTGAATTGCCGATGTAGATGGGATTGCTAAATATTTTTTGGCAATAGTTGCTATTGCTGGATATTTTTCTTCTCGTGTTCTCCACCACTCTAAGGGATTTAAATCAAATCGAAGTTGAGGTTCTGAAAGATATCCTGTAAACTGTGTAAATGCGTCATTTGTACTATTAGTATGGTTTTGTAAATAAATAATAACACTTATTCATTTTCAAATCGTTTTCCTTCTGTATCATTAGGATTTGTAATAGTTTGGGGCCAACTGATTCAATAAGCTGTGAGACATGTGATCGAATTTTCTCTCTAGCTGGTACTGGTTCATGTTCCATAATCTTTATCTTGGATCTAGAAAAGAACAACGTGTCTGCAGTAACATTTCTTTCCATGTCAATTCAAAACGAGTGGTCATTTGATATAGAACGTGTTCTTAAATCGTTCCGTTATATTGTCATCTTCGATACCATGTTCATAATGGGAAGTTACAATTTTGTGTATTAAAGGTCGTACCATTGAAACAGAAGATTCTAATTCTCCACAAAATAAGTAGTGAGAGCTGCAATGGTTTCAGTAGTACTAATTTTCAATAATTAACCATTCAGATCTGTAAATTGTAACTAAATATTATCATGTAAATTGTCTGGTAAGACATGACTTTTTATCTGTAAACTTATGAATTATGTAATTGATGTGAACCAATTGTAAACTTTTATCTATGTAAAATTTTAAGCTTTTTTGTGGCCCTACAAAAACCTTTGAAAGGGCGGTGAGGTGTAGCGAGCTGTGACTATTTCTTAAATAACTATTTAACAGTATAAATCTGATTCTAATATTATGTACGTAATCATATAGTCATAGAATAGACGCGCCGCGTAATTAATAGTATACGCGAGCGTTCTCGCGTAAAAGTCAATAATAGTAATAATAATAACGTCGCTGGCACCATGTATACAGTACGTGTGTACTGGAGCGATGACAGCATATATACAGCGCGAAGATAATAATAATCGAACGCATGACCATGAACGGCGCGCGGCAATAGATATATGACTACGTATATAAATAATTCTAAAATACTGTGAACTAGGATTTGTGCTGTTATACTAAATAACAAGATGTAATCTGATGACATCCGGCGCGTGCAGCGACGACCGGGTGACAAATCCCACAATAAGCCTAACCGCAGGATGACCATGTATGGTTCTGGAATCTGTGGAAGGGACTGGAGAGACCCATCGAGGAAAGCTGATGGACAAGCGTTCATCAGACGAGCGACAAGCCTCAACTTCAACAGTCACACTAAATACTCATAGTCACAACTCGCTTTAAGTCAATTATTTGGACTATTATAAAACTGTTTTACATAATAAACACAATAAATACTATCAAAAGAGGTTTTGTTCAATTACTGCTTCCATTTCAACAAGTAACGCTGTTGGGCACTATCGTATATTGTAGACAGTCGTCAAAATATTATTTCATATATGTAATAGAGGTGGGAACATTTTAAATTGTAAACTATTGACATAGGTCAGTGAAGCATATGTGCTGAGCACGGTTATCTACTAAGGTTGGAGCACGGCACCTTATCACATGTACAAGTGGTGTGACTAGTGAACTAAAAGCGCTAGTAGTAGTCGACCCGATTTTTACATGTAAAACATACAATAGATTGTAGTTTGTACTTAAAAAAAAAGCAGTTAAGTTCTGTAAAAATTGTTCTAAGTAAAAATGTTGAATGTTAAATTGTTCATTAGTTCAACTTAGTTTGAATTATTTAATTAACAGATAAGTCTGTAAATTAAGTTTTTATAAAATAAGCTTAGGAAAACATTTCATGAATGAAATGTAACCCACATGTTCAATTTTTAAAATAAATATTTTTAATTGTATAGCATTTTTAACAGATTTAAGCACATTTTGCAATTGATCATTTGTACTCCCAATCATTCCATGAATTGTATGTTAAATTCTTGAATCCTAGAAACATTAATATTTTTATTTCAACATATTATATATTTTTTGTTTTTTTAAACTTAATACAACACTAAGGTTAAAAACAATAAGCCAAAAGCCAAGCAGTATAAGCAAGTATTTAATATTTTAATGTAATTTAAATTAGCATGTATTATATATTTCGATATTTCTTTTTTTCTCTTGATACTTTTTTTAATTTAAGGTTTTCTTGATATGTGTATTGCCGTAACCTCATTTGAATGAAATAAACCAATTTGACCATTTTATAAATCTGAAAATCTTTGATGCTACCAAGTAGGGTTATGGTCATCTCCTAATTAAAAACAAGACACAAATGACACTAACACAAATACTCGAAAAATAATAAATATCGAGGAATACTATTTGCTAGTTTTTTGGAGGGAAAACGTGATATCAATTTTCTATCACAATACACTCGTAATATTTTGTTTTTAAATACTTTATTATAGTAATTAAAAATTTAAAGTCATCTAATCTATAAAAAATAAAATTCATTATTAAAATTAACTAACTTATTTATTACAACACAAGTGTTATAAATATTAAATAAAAAAAAAAGTTGTTTGTCCTATTCATTATATATTAAAACCGGGCCAACTACTACTAGCGCTTTTAGTTCACTAGTTACGCCACTTCGACATGGCTATAACATGGGGAACATAGTAGCGAGCTCCAACCTAGTAGATACCGTGGTGCTGAGACAGCGATAAGATTACTATATAACACCGCCGCACGCGCAGGCACCGAGGAGTCTCGTTGTCGCTGAGTGAATCGGCAAGAACGTAGGTACTGTGGTCGTGCGTGTGAAACGTCGATCGGAGTACGGGCTAAGCGATCTGAATTCGCCAAGTAATATTTATTTTGTGTTTGTTATTTAAATATAATAAAAGTGTTTCCGACCTAAAAACCCGAGTTGAGTTTTATTTCAAAGTCTTCTTCGTTCTTACCTTTAATATTGGAACAGTGCTCAGACCCACACACCTATGTCAATGAGGTTTATTACAAACTGAACAGTGCTCTGGTTGTGGCGTCCTAATAGTCATTCCAATTTAGGGAAACGGAAGAACTGAACAAAACGCTACCATCGTACTCAAGGTTAACAGTGCTAATCTGAATTTATTCTAGAGACAGTCATTAGCCTAGAGCGTACGAGGGTAAGGTATAAAGTTGGTTTACCGCGTATTATCCAATACGGGTGATACCACAGAGTGGCGCCCAACGTGGGGCTCGAACCCACGACCCCGAGATTAAGAGTCTCGTGCTCTACCGACTGAGCTAGCCGGGATACGGAAGAGTGGCGCCCAACGGGGTTACTTATCCACGGTCGGAGACATTTTTTTGATTTTTTTTGTGCCCTGGTACCTCAACCTTGGCAAGTTTAATTTTTTTGAAAGTGTTTACGTACGAGAAGTACAACAGTTTTTACGTGTAGTCTGGGAGAGATTCCCTTGACACACCATTTTTTTTTTTTGTAAAGTGAAGTACAACATTTATGCACGTTTCGGGTAGTAAATCCGGAGCAAGTTTAGTATTTTTACCTGTTAAAGGTTAAGTAAAATATACTTTTTGTGTGTTTTGGGTGCAGTAGAAACCCAGAACGCAATTTTTGTACGTGTGTATACCGAGTGAGTAACACATACGCGTTCGATTTTTTTCTGACCGACAAGACAGCAGTTTTGTGCCGCGTGGTACAATTTTTGCAACCGTGCGTCTACAAGTATACGCCAAGGTGAGCAACGTTTTGTAATATACTTATACTAGGATTATAGATTAGATTTTTCTTAAAACAATTTAAATAGAATTTTAGTTCAATAATTTTTCAATATTTTTTTTTCTCGATTTTAAATAACAGCAAAATTTTAATTTAAGTCTTAAACAAGTAGATTAGGTTTTTTATAGAAACTATTTAAATAGGATTTTTTTTTAGTTCAATTTTTTCTCTCTATTTCTTTTTTTCTTTTCAAATTTTTATTCGATATAATTATAACCGCAAAAATATTAATTAAGTGATATACTTACGTATTAATATTAGGATTGTAGATTAGTTTCTTTTTAAATTTAAATAGGATTTTTTTTTCTCAATCATTTTTTTAAATGTTTATTCAATATTAAATAACCACAAAAATATTTTAATTTAAGTTTCAAACTGTTCAAAAATTAATTATTTAAGTGTTAAGCAAATTAAATAAAATAAATTTTATTATGATATGAATGACGAACATCTTTTAGCTTTGGGAAAAAAAATTACAAAATTAACCGATATTTATATACAAAAGAAACCAGATCTTATTGAATTATGCAAATCTAAACAATTAAAAAGTGTAGGAACCGTAGATAACCTAAGGGCTAGATTATCTAGATACTATAAGGGGATCGTAGAATTAGGCGACATCGAAGAAACTTTAAGTGATCTACAAAAACTCAAAGTTCAAAAGGATTCAATAGAAGATAGAATTGATATTACAGAATTACTCACACAGAGCAATTTAAGTGATTCAAGCCCAGAAACGAGTAATAGCGCTATAAATAGACCAAAAACAATTAATAGCGACCTTTTAAATAATATATCCAAAGATTTAGAAGAAAACGCAAACAAATTAATAATCCAAGCAGAAAAAATTGAAAACCTTAGTAGTAATTTATATCAAAACGATTCAGTACAAGCCCCTAATAATAGTTATAATAATTTAATAAACTTAGATCCTAACGAATCTACAAAAGTAGAACACATATACGAAGATATCATAAGTCCAATAAAAACTGATTCAGATTTAAATACCACCTTCTTTAGCAACTCAAAATTCGTAATAGACAATACACCTGAAAAATTAAATATATTGGAAAATAAAAATCCAAAACACAAAATGGAAAAAATGATAGTCAAACCAGAAAGTTTTTCCGGACAAGGCGACATCAAAACTTTCATCAGACAATATGAAAAAGCAGCACAGATCAACAATTGGGACGACAACGAAAAAATTAAGTTTTTATCAATATTTTTGAAAGAAACTGCAAACATATTTCTACAAAATTTGGAAAACAAAGGAGGTAACTTGTCATGGGAAAATCTGAAAAGCGAGTTCATAAACGAATTTCAACCCATAGGATACTCGATAATATTAAAAAACAAATTAGAAAACAGAAAACAGAACGACTTAGAGTCAATTTCTAGTTTTGTTACGGAAATAGAATACCTGTGTAGCCAAGTACAAAAAGATATGAAAGAGGAAGAAATTTGCTTGTACATACTAAAAGGTATTAGGGAACCCATATTACATGCAATCTCACTGCATGATAATAGTACTTTAAAAAAGTTGAAAGAAAATTTGAAAAAATATGAACTTATGCAATTTAGAATTAATTCAAGAAATTCAGGTCTCAGCGAATACACAGAAATCTTAAATAAACAAGTTATGCAACTAAATAATGAAACTAAAGACAGCAATCAAGAAATAAAACGATTAAATACAAAATTAGAAGGAATAGACAGTTATCATAAAAACAAAATCGACCAA